CCCAGGACACGGAGCTACTCGGGGGCAGCGCGCATCAATGGGGAATCGAATGGGCAATCACATGGTGCCTAGTTTACAGTCACACACATGACACGTGACATGCACACACGGGCCGGTAAAATGTGTTTTTCTATTTTTGATCCGCTGAGGGCACCTAGAAGCGTGAATCCAACTGCACAATATAGATAAATCAATGTTAACGCCTTCAAAAAAGTGCAGCGAAGCAAGCATGCAAACGCTTGCAATCACTTTTTTGCTGAAAGTTTTGATATCTTTGGTCCTGGTATGAGTCCTGGCAACTTAAGTCGAAGATCAATGAATTTGACATGATATGCCTTTTCCAGCTGTGATGATGGTACTTGGGTAAACCAGTTATACTTCGGCGATATATTGGCCGTAATAAAACGGGCTGTGCGCATGTGCAGTTTTCCCGAACAACTTATTCTCGACTGGCTACAGCATGTTGTACATGAGGATAGGCTTCGGGGAAGGTGGCATTGGGCGCTTTCCGGCATTGGTATTGACCTTAAGAAATCTAATGCTAGCGCGCCTGTGGATCAGGCAGTGTTTAGATCACATGCTCCTTTGTGGATGGTACATTCAAGTACACCGTACAACTTATATCATATCAGTAGATATCATATAGACGTGAGTCACGTCTATACTCCCAGCTAGCAGCCGATGTTTCACCAGCCCTTCAAACGCCCCAGAGTAGGTGCATCCATGTTTTGCGTACAAAAGCGTATGATTTTTTTGACACGTTTGCCGGAACAATTGCTGAATGTGCTCGTCGTCAACCTTGCTTTTCGTGTGGCTGCTACCTCTGACCACGGAGATCTGGGTCTATTTATGATAGTTTTAATCTGCCCTTCGTGATTCTAAAACTTACTTTTCCCATGCCATTCGAGTGCGGAGGTGAAATGAAAGCCGCAATGCAGAGTTGCAAAATTTTGGCACGTTATAAGACAGCTCGCATTTAAACGCTTTGAAACGTTACAGTACGACGGTTATTTGTACGCTATTTACTGCCCCTCTCTGTGCCACTTTTTGGTAAAAATGTTGGTTACGATCGGAGGCTGCAAACACATATGCCAAACCGCAAGGTAACGGACGGAGCCGAGCCGGGCCGCTGAAGCTACAAACTTTCCGTATGGGTTGAACCTAAACTCCCCGGGCGCGCCCTCGCTCTTGATGATGTCCACCACATGATGACCGAAGGTTGTGGCGGCATCCGCGATTACGTTATGTGTGAAAGTCGCGTCGAGTATTGCGCGTTAGCCAGCTCCGTGACGCTGTAATTGTTTGCTTTGTCGACATTCCAGTGCAATAGAAACTAGATCTATTCCGCGCCGTGACGGAGTACCCAATCGTGTAGGGCTGTACAGAACGGACGTCCCTTGGCAGGCGCTGTTGTGGGATGCAAGTGCCGCTGTTAGCATGAGACACGCATTGCTAGCCAGGAGAAGCTTAATGCCTGCGGGTGTGTTTGCATGCAGTCTGCTTGATGATGCAAATATACAGTTTTTAGTCAGTACTATTATGCCGCATGGGAGCCATCGTCTATCTGGGTTATGTTGCTGTTTTTGCTGCGCGCCGCCGACGCGACGCGATCGATCACGTGACCTGCACGGCCTCTGGGACTGGAAAGGCTTCACCAGCTGCTTTTGTGTTCCGTTACACATATGTCGGACAGGGGGCTGACTACCGTTCCCAGAAACGTAAAAGTCGTTCGGCCGTTAACGTTGATATCGCTGGGAACGCAAGGCACGGAGATGTAAGACTGTTCGCACGATTGTGTGCTAAACGTGCAGCACAGCAGCCGAGCATCAGAGCCCTTCGTTGGCTTACTCGTGCGTTATGCCTTTCCTTCCGCATAGTACTCGTCCAGCGCCGTGCTGCCCCGCGGTCGTTTTTACGGCCACTCGGAACCCGTTACCAAGGCATTTCCGTATTGATCGGACTGCGCGCTGGAGCCGCGTAATCCCCTGCGGCTTCGTCGTCCACTGGTCAGGGTAAGCCAGTGCCCGGCACTTAGGCCGCCGCTTCACAGCTCCGTAACTTTTGTATTTTTGCGTGCGCCCGCCGCCCGGTGGCGGCGTGCCCAGAGACGCGCGGGACGCACGGGGAGCGGCGCCATGTCGCTAGCGGCGGGCAAAGGCTAGCTACACCAGCTAGTCAAGACAAGACAAGACACAAGCTCGTCCTCAGCGCATGCCGATCACTCGGGCATCGGCACCGCAGCCTCTCCCTCCCAGTCACCGCTATTATCCCACACTTCCAGTGCCCCTGGCTTAACTACGGCGCTCCCAACCCGCTGCGCCCGTCGACTTCCCACACGCGCCTGCCGCGAGTTTTGCGCTGCCCCCTCCCCCCCCAGCACGCCTGCTGAGTGCTGCAACTTCCAGCTCTGTTTCGCGCACGCCGTTCGTGCGGGCCATTTACCCGCCCGGTCTGCCGGGGCCGTTTACCCGCTGAGTCTGCCGGAGCCGTTTCACGTCTGCCCCATAGCGCGGCCTCCCCCCGGTCGCGGCCCATTGCGCGCCCCAGGCGTTTCGGGCCGCCGCGTCCGCGACGTCCCGCCTCTTCCCGTCCGCGCGCCGCGGAAAGGAGCTCAGAGGCGGCCCGGCGGCGACCGCCGGCTGGGCACGACGCTGCCACGCGCCGTGGGTGCGGGCCGGGCGGGCAGCCCACCCGGCCTGACAATGGTGGTGTGGAACGGTGCGAAGGGATAGCATGATATTCGGCACTGCCACTGGTCGTGCTTCAGGGTTTAACGGTGGTCATAATCTTCATCGACACCTGCACTGTTAGTGTGGCATAGTTTTCCACAAAGAGGGATGGGGGTCGCGACGTAGCCACTGCTGCTGTGCCGGAGTTTGATTTGACGTAACCCCTTACCAGCTCCGTGACCGTTTCGCACTGGGGGCCGGCGCTGGCTCCGTCGCACCGTGCGGCAGGTCAGGGTCGGCACCTCGTGCCGCGCGCAGGCCAGGGTCGGAGGGCACGGGACGCCGGGGTGAAGAGCACTGCCGTTCGGATTCGTGACTCAGGCTCACGCACGAGAGATACGAATCGAGGGGCTCATGCCGTCACCTTCTTGCTTAGAGATTGCACACGAAACCCTCTGTTGTCAGAATGTCCAGACGAAGGTAAACGGCGGACTCGAAATGGAGCTAGCTTACTCAGCAGCCAACATTTTGCGGTTTAAGAACACAAGCGTTGCATAGACTTGCTAGTTCAGATAAGTGTAATCCATGATACGGCACGACATCCGCTATACCATTTTCTTCATCATATACATTTTACCACTGAAAGAGGTCAGTCTCGCCGTCTCTCCCACTCCAACTTCTCTCAATATTATCCTGCCGTGTGAGGGGACGACACGGGACCTGACGGCCTTCCCAGCCGGTTGTCAGCTCTGCCCTGGAGCCCGCCGCCGCCGCCGGCTGGCTGAGGGGACGACACGGGACCTGACGGCGAACCCAGCCGGTTGTCAGCTCTGCCCTGGCGCCCGCCGCCGCCGCAGCCGGCGGGCTGAGGGGACGACACGGGCCTGACGGCCTTCCCAGCCGGTTGTCAGCTCTGCCCTGGCGCCTGCCGCTGCCGCCGCCGGCTGGCTGAGGGGACGACACGGGCCTGACGGCCTTCCCAGCCGGTTGTCAGCTCTGCCCTGGCGCCTGCCGCTGCCGCCGCCGGCTGGCTGAGGGGACGACACGGGCCTGACGGCCTTCCCAGCCGGTTGTCAGCTCTGCCCTGGCGCCTGCCGCTGCCGCCGCCGGCTGGCTGAGGGGACGACACGGGCCTGACGGCGAACCCAGCCGGTTGTCAGCTCTGCCCTGGCGCCCGCCGCCGCCGCCAGCGGGCGCACACGCTCGACCCGTGCAACGCCGCCCGAGCTGACCGGCCCCAACGGCACCGCACTGCTGCTAGGCGGCGTCTGAGGAGGCCGCGGCTCGGCGCAGCGCCGCCCAGCCATGGCGCGTTCCTTCCCAGCAGTGATGCCGGTGGCCCGGAGGCACGGCGCCAGATCGTCGGCCGGCGCCAATGAAGGCCAATGGAGCCTGCGTTTTCCGCGCCTTCTCGCCTGCCCTTGTCTCGTGCAGGAATGATCTGACGCTGGAAACGGCTTCTCGCCAGCCATCACAGGCTGCCATCAAAACAGCTCTCGGAACCAACGGAGTCCGGCACAGAAAATCAACAGTCATTTCTTGAGATCTCTGAGCAGGCGCCGGCTCGCCATCCCAGTGTCGCTCGAGTTTCGCGGCCACCGCGGCGCCGGTGGTGCGCTGCCTTGGGCTCTCTGCCGACCACGCTCGGCACCAGGACGGCGGCAGATCGTGCGGCCCGTCGCTGACCTGCGGCACGCCTCAGGAGTGACCCGGCCGCCCCCTGACCTTGACTTGGACACGCCGCAGCATCGGCCAGTGGGCGACCACCTCGGTCCGTCGGCTGAGGCGCGACTCTTTGTTACGAATATCTAGTGTCTGCTTGGCTGTTTATGAATGTGTGGATGGGTGAGATGCACACAAAAGACTAATCTGGACCTGAATAGGAGACATCCTGGACTCCTAGTCTCGCGGTGTTGTTGGGAGTAAATAATAACCCACCAGTAATGTATCAGGAAAATCGTCAAATCTGGGAAGAAGGTAGATGCCTCGCATAGGATGGGATTATACACGGAATTTCGCCAATCAAACAATGCCAAGCATTATTAGAAGCATATGCTGATATTTTAATCCAGTCGCGATAATTTTCTGCTGACAATGCCAACATCGTTAGCAATTTTAGCAAATCAAAAAGGGTTAAGAATGGCTTGAAAGGAGCATGGGCCTTCGTTGGTCGACCAACCCAGAACGATTTGAACCCAGAGATGTTGGTGGATGTGACCTATAAAACTGTTAGCAAGTTCTGTAATGCCTCTGAGCCACGACGGTCGGAACGGCCTTACAACCCGATCAGCACGCGTCTCTCCGTCTGACAGACCGTTCCCGTCGTTCCAGGTAGCATATCCCCGTGCGTAGCACCAAGTGCCATTACGCCTGCTGCCGGCGGCGGCACTGCCGGCCCGCCGAGCACCAGCGCAAGGGCCGATCACCAGCGGAGCGGGCCGACACCAGCCGCCGCCAGCTCCGCACCACGGTCTGCACAGCGGCCCGCACGGAACCACCGCCTCCACCTTCTGGCTTTTGTCGTGGCCCACTCCCATCCATGCATTTTGGTCGTGATGGCTGGGATGACTGTATGTGGTGTGTGGAAAAGTGAGCTTGTGGCATAGGTAAACGTATTTTAGAGAATTCTCTGTGAGCGCCATTGCAGATGGGCTCTTGCCTGCGTAAGCCGGTCTTATGATGCCCTCAACGCCATGACGGAGGAGTATCGGAGGGGGACAGGGACGAAGCTGAAAACATTGTTCAGCCGAGGCCCGCTATACGGCAGGTCCGCCCGCACCAACATCGCCCGACGAGTGAAGACCCGGTGATCAGGACACTGGAATGAGCGCTGGAGGCCGGCGCGCCTACAGCGCGGCGCCGGCTCGGCGGGCCGGTGCTGACCGCCGGCGGGTGGAGCCGGGCCGCCGGGCCGCACGCCCGGCCGGGGCAGGTGGCACGCGCGAGCCGCGACGGCCGGCCGATGGTGCGATCAATGGCAGCGGCGCGTGCCGGTCTGGGACGGCACGCCGGTGGCCGCGGCTGCGAAAGGTGCCGCGCGGGGCAACAGGGGCCGCGAACGAACGGGAGCTGGACCGGAGGGTAAGGCAGTCGGATGACTCGCAGCAGGCTTGAACTCAGCCCAGTCTATGCAAAGTCGACAACGACGAACTGCAGAGGAGGGCGTCCATTCCGACTCCGTCTGATGCAAACGAGCTGGAACTCTGAGACAGCGTTATTACGGCTACCTTGGAGTACATGGATGTTAAGTTCCGAATCAGGAAAAGGTGACCAGGATCCTGAGGTCGGTTTAAGGGAGGCACCTGATCAAGGGAAACTAATGCAAAATAAGTACAAGTTTCTGACTTTCTCAAACGTGTATAGATTGCGCCTTTCCTAGGATTTAGTTAGTTACCCACCCAAAGCATACTTTAGACTAAGGACGTACCGTGAGTTAGGTGTGCTCATTCAAAATCGACTCGCTCACACAGAAGTGAAAGAGGCTGAATTCAGAGAGGGCCACACTTTGACCATACATGAAACGGCCTCAACATTGAATACAGTACAGCCTGGAAGTGGCACATCGAGTTCTGAATGCGTCCGTAACAAAGCGTGAGCAGACTTGACAATCACGTGTGCACCGCAAAGCCTTTTGCTTTGATCGCCGAGAACGCGGCATGTGGAGCCAGCTGATAAGTCGCGCCGATTATCTGAGCCAGCTTGATCTCGTGAGCACGTCTCAGTCACCAGACTTCGCCTTTGCCACCAATTCCGCCGAGGCGAGCACCGCGTCGATCTAGTGCTTCGTAAGACAGGTTCAGAATCCGTCATGCGTCGGGGAGCACTGGGTGGGCATGTCCACTGGACACATCACTAGAGGGAACGGATGCGAAAACGGACTCCTTGTGGGTGACAAGCAAGTCAGGAGGGATATATCCGCTTTGACGTGCCGTTCCAACTCACGAACCAACAACTGGCAAGCGATCACAGAGTCACTGGGCCATTCATTGGGCAGGTGTCGTGACATATTTCGCTGTCGTGGGGCAAAACACACGATACTCCCACTAGCCTCAGCTCGATGTAAATGTTCCAGCAGTGCTCTACATCCAAGGTTCAGTTCTAATTACGCCATTCCATATGGCCCTGGTGAACAACGTTGATCAAAATGTGATTCTGGTGATGACAACGATGCAGCACAGTTTTGAAGGCTGTTCGCTCCAGAGCGTGCGCCTTCAGAATCCATCCCCGAAAGGTGTTGCTGTTTTGAGTGGGAATGGATGAACTCGGATGATGTAAGGGAGGGTGATGTGTCAGGATTGGTGCGAGCCCTCACTGTTGAGTATTTTCCTATTGCCTTTTGTGATTTTTTGATACCGGATGCATTTACATAAAGTGGCATTTAGTGGCAACTTTTGGCATGCGACACCGTGCGTTCTGACTGAGTTCTGCCCGTGTCTGTCGATTATGCCTTGTTGAATGCGCAGATGCCTAATGATCGATAGATCAGTGTCATCTTCCTTTTAATCAAATATGGTTACTATTAACACCATCATGTACTTTTTGACGGTCTTCAGTTCGGAGCGCGAAGGTGTTACTAATGCGCTGCTTCTTAGCCATGGAAAGTTGCGCGAATCAAACTCGTTCTTTAATGCGTGCTGTTTTCTCGAGCTGTGTTAACGTTGATGTGACCCCAATGACATTTCCTGCGAAAGGAGTTTCTAGCCTTCCACAGGCCTCGGAAAAACTGGACTTAAACATGAAAAGAACCTTCGATTGCTTAAACGGATGTCCTAGGATTGCATAGCCTTACAGCCGTTTAATCACAACTCATGATCCCCGTTTTCACTCTATGTCTGCGTGACTCTCTGCATGAGCTTAGCCGGGTGTCCTCAGCTGCTGCATTCGTGATAAACGGCAAACAAAATATGCACATGTTTTCCGATCATGTGTGCTTTTGCAACAAGCTGGCGCGCCGCTACGACGACGCTGGAGGCCCGCGGTGCACTGGCGCCACCTATGTCGACGCTAGCGCCGAATGTGTCGGATCGGACCGCCAGGGCCAGCGAGTAGATTCGCGTCGGTTGTGCGTCTTTTGTAATAACTCTCGATGTCCGCGCTTGCAGTAATGATGCCAGATCCGGTGTGATTTCTTTGCACAGTGAGCCAGTAGTGTGCACTGACCAACACGCGGACGCAATGCTGGTGGCAGCTCGTCACCGGCAGCGTTAAAGCAGGTGTTTGTATCAGCAGGCGCGCCGGTTTGTGGAATGTATTTTACCATGCACTCGGATTTGGCATTGAATCAGGCTGATCTCGGCTGTATGAAGAGCCACGTCTTAGTTGGGTCATCTTAAGGGATTACTGCCGTCTTTGTTTTACACAATGTTGGTGGCTGTACCGATGACGTCACACCACTGGAATGCAAAAGGTACACAGATCACAGCACGAAGCGCATCGGTCTATTTTCCCGGAATACAGGCAGTTAGTGAGTGCTGGATGAGATGGTCTCAAACTTATGCGTGTGCTGCCTTTGACATGCTTTTGCCGTTGACCCGCGCGCCAGATTAGCTCGGCTATTCTCCGTTTGCTGATGGCGCCCCTGCCAAGTTCTTTGTTCCGTGGGTCACGTGTTCGCGAGCGCATTTTTGAGCTGTTCACGTTACGCTACGCGTTTGTTTCACGATGTGTGTTCCATGTACGAATTGGAAACGTGCTTTGTCGAATAAAACCCGCAGATGTACAAGCTTTGCTAAAACACAGCATGTAAAATAAGCGCGAACCGTAATGCCTATTGCAAACTGAAGGCGTATAGATCCGCGCGCATAGTTGCTGCTCTGGTCTTATCTGTTGACGATGTTAACACAACCATAAGGTCAATCGTCAAACCAGTCAATGCTGCTCAGGCTTGATGGTACGAAGGTCCCGCTCATGAAATTCATGCCGTACTGTTTACTAAATAAAAAAAACAACGAATCCCTAAAACTGCTTCCCAGCTCCAACAAAGCCACAGGCCACAACGGAAGCATTCCCACCTCTGCATTTAGCCTGGTTCACGTTTCATTCGGCGCTACGGCCTAAGGCGTTGTCATAACATAAATATCTGGAGGTGAACCCACTCTGAAATAGGGTTCCTGTCAAGGCACATGTTTACGAAAATACTGCCGCGTAGACAAGCGAAATGTTGATGAAAATCATCCACATGAATCTGGCAGATATTCCACAGCTTTCCATGCATGTCCTTGCTATGTCGCAATTCGAGCCATTGAGGGCGACGGAACAAATGGATTCGATCATTGCACAGCACTCAGGACAGTGGAACTCAAAAGCGCATGGTCGAGATTACCACACTACGGTTAAACGACATTTTGAGCGCATTACCATCAGATAAAATAGCTTTACGCACGGTGGATCCAGCTGTATTTATATCATTCAAGGTCACAAATGTCCAAGAATCTATGCAGTTCACTAATATAATTCCATTTGATTAAACAAACATAGGAATTACAACACCATCTGAAACATTATGGCAAGGTCGGCATACGTTTTGAACGACCTCCCTTATTTTACATGCCTTGAGTGGTTACCGCCTCTTACCATACGCCTCGGGCATTGCATTCCATTTTGGATGCGTAACATAGGTCACACACGCTGGCATGACTGACCGCTGCCATCACGCCAGCATGGGCAGGTGACGCCCTAAGTGAACCGTGCCTGGTGCGACCGCGACAGGCCTCCACGGGCGTTCCGTCGGAGCCGCCGCGGCCGCCGGCACCGTCCCGCCTCAGCCCGCTTCCGTCGGCCCGACCCTCCACACGGCCGGGCTCTTCACACCGCCGCCGGTCCGCCGCGACTACCACCCGCGGGCCAGCCGACCATCGCGCCCCAGGCTTCCAACGCTCTGGCCCGCATCCGCCGAACACCGCCGGCGTTCAGCACGGCTCCAGCACGCCCCCCCCCCCCCCCCCCCCCAACTCTAACCAGTGCCCCTCTCGCCTGCCGAGGCCCACCAATGACCAACCCCTGGCAGCGCGGCAACTGGTGACGGCTCCCGCTGCGAAGAGTCTCCTCTGAGGGCCGCCCGCCTGCCTCTAGTACCAGGTGTCGATCAGCAGCGCTTCAGAGCCGAAGCAGGCGGCGATCCTTGGAAACTGCTTGTCGGCGCACACGCTGACGTCCTGGCAGCGCACGCTCTGCGGCACGTTCCGGATTGAACCGACTGTCACGAACGCCCTGCCGACAGTACGATACAGATGCGCTCAGTGCCGTCACGCTCGGTCAGTGGCGTTATGCCCGGTCAGTTACGTGTGCATGTTCACCACCCGATCACCAGCCGTACTTAGGACCAAGCGCTCGTTCCTGGCGACTTTATTGCGTCCCTATGCCCAGTGACCCGCGCTTGCACTGATGGCCTACCCTGACTTTGGAAGACGGAGACACAGTGGCGCACAGGGTGGAGCTGCTAGTGTCACCTGCAGTCGATCATGCGGACGAGGTTGACGAAGCCGCCGGACGCCGCCAAGTAGTCTTGGCCCATGAACTGGGCGCCCGTCTGCATGCTCTCATGAGAGTCGGGCTGTATGTCCGTGATGAGCTCGCCGGAGCCGTAGTCCCATACCTGTAGCGCCTGTCGCCGCCGCCACGACGCCGTCACCACGCGGTTCGAGATGCTGCCGGGCACACGGCCACCGTCACAACCGGCCGAGCGGCGGACGGGGGCTGTCGGACACGGGCCACGGCGCCGCGCACGTCAGTATGTGTCTGTTCGCAGACGCGACCCAAACTGGTTTTCCAATCAGTGACCACAATCCACGTGTCAACGAAACGGATTCGCACAACCCACCACTCCACGAAACGTCCGTAATTTAAGGTCAGGTGGACGTCTGCTGAAAGGAAATAATTCGGTCTTTGCCGCCAAGTTCCCCGAGGGACGCACTTTGTCATTCAGCATGCAACAAGCTGGCACGAGGGAGGCTGTTTTGGTCATTGACAACAACGGCAGACAGCGATGTAGTTGCCTTTTCAGTTGGAGGGAGAAGGGCATTACCCCACTTAGCCCAACTTTGAGAAGAAAGTGGTCCAAATCAGCAGAGAAACACGTTTTTTTAGTTTGGGGAAGGTTCCGTCATTTTTCTCCACTCATGTGCCCACAAACTCCTTTTGAAAAACCACGACCATGACGGCAGAGCCTATGAGGAGATCAACAGGGCGATCAAGAGGCACAAGGGGCATTGACTTCGAACGCAATTTGTATCTTGCTTCGTTCCATTCCACGCCATGGTGCTAATGCCCATTTACCCTGCGATGACTGCGGCCTCTCCCCCTCCCCCTTTACCCCCACCCTCCTCCTTTCGCATTTCTTCAGTCTCTGACTCACGGATTGTGAGACCACCGGCTTATTAAGCCTCACTGATAAATGGTATACAGATATCAGCAGCGATAGATGTGGCACAGACAGGAAACGGACGTCGCATGACCCGTTCCCCGTCTCACACCTCCAATTTGAACCCAGACCTGGCGGAGCGCCCGGAGTCTGCACTCACGGGTCGATGCTGAGCCCCTCGCCGCAGATGTGTGGCCCGTAGATGCGGCGCACGGCGTGTGGGTGCCGCATGTCCCAGAACTGGACCGTGTTGTCCCAGCCGGCCGAGAGCAGCTCGTGCGGCGTGTGCGGGTGCGCAGCCAGCGCGAACACGCGCGACCGGTGGCCGTCGTTGAGCGCGTGGTCGGCGGAGGCGTGCAGCCGGCCGGCCAGCCGGGACGTCGCCGCGTCGAACACGCGGATCGCGCCATCCTCGCCCGCCAGCTGGAAGTACTTGCCGAGGCAGTCGAACGACAGTGCCAGCACCTGCTCGTCAACGTCCAGCGTCTGCAGGCACTCGCCGCTCATGTAGCGCCAGAACTTGACCAGCCCGTCGCCATAGGCGTTCAGGAGCACGGTCGACGGCTTCGGCTCCGGCACGGGCACGAACCTGGCGCACGTCACTGGCATGCTGCGCTCGAGCGTGTCGTGGTCCTGCAAGAGAACGACGTGCGAGGCTACGTCGTCCGTACTGTATATGGAGGTGCCGCCGGACACCGTGCCAACAGCCAGGTGGACGCCGTTATTGCTGAAGCGGCAGCACATGATCTCGGCCGACGTGGTGATGGTGGAGGCGATCTTGACCGAGCCTTCAGCACGCACGTCCTTGCCGTCGCCCATCATGGCCAGCGCCAGCGCCTGTGCACTACGCTCGGCCGGCATGTCGCTGGCGGTCGACCAGTTGCGCTTCGGCAACGGGCGCGTCTCCATCACGCTAGATCGCGAGGCCAGGCCGCCCACAGGCAAGGTACGCCGGCTGCCGCTGCCGGATGCTTCCGACAGCCGGTTCTCTAGACCGAATTGTGAGCGCTCACCGCTGATGTCGGCCAGTCGAACACGACGAGGAGCGTCTTCGACGGCAGAGGATCGCCGACTCTGTGACGCCACCGCCATCGCCCCGTGCTTCAGCAGATTCTGCCCTCCCTTGTCCTTATGAAAAATACCCTTCAGACCGTGAAACATGATACCGCGATACTCTCTACTTGTGGATAATTCCAACGAACCAACACGCTGGAGCGTTGCACGAAGCTGGGTCGGTCACCTGAGAGCCCCAACGTTTATAGACACCAGTCACTGGCAGCATGCGTCGTACTTACGGAAATAATCCATAAATTCCAAAGTTCATGCAAATTCTCAGTACACATATAAGCATATATGCGTTCAAATAACCAGAAATTGAGGTGTTGCTACCTTCAATGACATCGCTTTCGTCAACTCTCACCTCCGGCACACGCATTGTCTGTTTAGATTAGTGATGGCCGGTTGCTATGGTCATTGTGCATTGCTATGGGCAAGTATTTGAGTATCGGAAATGGCGGGAGGACTTTACAAGTTTGTTGCATCATGAAATGTTGATATTCTGCTGAGTTATGGATATCAGTGAGACTGGCTTATAAATGTTAAGAAATTATTTGCGACGTGTTAATCAATTAGCTGTTATAGGCCACAGCAAACTGTTTTAAAAAACGCATTTCAAAAAATGATGGCCATGGTACTGGTTACCTGACTCGGCGTTTGATCAGTGGCGTATAGTGATGGGCGATGGCGACGTTAGTGTTGCGATACCTTGCGAAGGGTGTGTGTGGTGGGGCGGTGCAAACATTTACGACTCTGTGATTGCGCAGACTGAAGGGTTGTGATATGTCGGATATGCTATTTGCGTGTTCGAGGTGTTTCAGTCGGCATCTATTTGAAGAGCTGTCACAAGGGCAGCAGCTTTGCAAGGTATGCAGACTTTTGAGACGTTATTGGCGCACAGTAATAAGTTTGTAATGTGCATGTTTATTAAATAGGTAAGAAGGTGGAGGTACATAGCTGCAAGCATGGGGCTGCTATGCAGTTTCACTTGTGTTATTCAATGAGGTGAAAGTTGTGACTCTCGAATGACCTCCAGTCTGAATTGATGCAGGATCCTACAATACCTAAATTTGTGTCCAGCTAGCCCCTTGACAGTGCCATAGGATGAGGGTATTGCCAGCATGGGCTTCCTGTTGTTTTTGTGCAGACCCTCACAATGCCGGATACAGCTTATGGTTATTGTTAGTGGGGCACTTGTTTCTGTGGGCCCAGTTAGCCTACCTATCTGCTCTTGTGAATTAGTCAGATAAACTTGACATGCAGACTTCCTTCAACTTTTCATATCATACCCCATTTAACACACATAATTACATATTACCATTTCTTGAACACACCAGATTCTGTCGCACTTTGTGAACATTCTGTTTTCCGAAAGATATAGAGTGACATGCTTAGACCAAGTCTGCTTAATTCTTATATTTGTACAAAATGTTTTATGTTGTCCAGTAGAAGGCTTGGAATGTGACAAAATAGAGTAAATATAGCATAATGTGACTTAGATTACTTAATTGTTTGGTAGATTTCTCAACAATAGATGAAACTTTTTCCTTGTTTTATGGTTTTGAGCTTAATTATCAGCCTTGGAGAAGAAAGCTGGTGGTGAGCAGGGGCTTACTACAGGTATGTCACTTTTTATGCCTTAAGCAGAGCATAATCACCACTTCCTTCCCCCCTCTACTATTGAGTTGAGCCTCTCACTGATATTGTAAGCCTTCCCCCAATGCATATGAGCAAAAAAGGGGAGTACTAGGCCAATGAAATGCTGCAAGTGTCAGAACTGCTGGTATGCTAGGTATCTAATCATACCAGCACCAGTCAAGACCAGCCAGGCAGACCAATATGCTTCACTTTGGTCCAGCATTTTATGTCGCAGTAGAGAGTTCATGGTCAGTAACCCATATTTTGTGAAACACCACCATTGTCACAGAAAATGTAGCTGTAGCTATGTAGCTGTAGCTAATGTAGCTCCAGCTAACTGTAGCATGACACCATTCTTTGTCAGCCAACCAGGTTGAGAGCTTAGTCACCCTTTGTCCTGAGATTCTCTCATTGGGGATGTTGATTGTGGTTGGTGGTTTGGGGTGTGATGTACCCATGCATAGTACCTATTTCATTGTTTTTTTTAAATGTTATCCTGTCTGAAAAAGTTAGGAACATGTGCTGGGGGATAGCCTGAAGCATTGTTGCATTTTGTGACACACACTTGTGTACCATGATTCCATCAGGTAAATTTTTAGCTTAGAGTCATATGCAGAGTTAAGCTTAAAGAGCAGATATGCGACAAATGATATTGCTTTGCCACCCAATATACTTCCAATGCTGGTCTAAGTATCTGATGTCAGGCATTGTAATGTCAGTTAGTCAATCAGCTGGCCCTAATATTACCATTACCATATGCAGTAACATTTCATCCAACTCTGAACTGCTTGTGGCGATGCTACACTCACATCAAAACTAACTGGAAGGCAAAAGGAATGCAGACAATGCTCAGAGTGAGTGGGATTGTTCATGGACTTAGCCCTGTCAGCCATTATTTCCTTTTCACCATGGACAACTTCCATTCAATGCCACCAAAGTATTTTTAAACCTGACAGGGGTGTGGCAAAGAGATCAAGAGCTATATGTCGGCATGACAGGGTAGGAAGACATCTCCAATTTGGATCAAAACGGCTGAAACTCGGACCTTGAAGATCAAATTAAGTGGATATGGTCATGATGAGGACACTGTTCTTGTACATTTACATTGCTCATAAAACTGCCAGAACAGAGAGCTACTCTTGCCTTTCCCAGGACAGTGTACAACAAAACCCTTCCAGTTTTGAAAGGATCTCCCGAACCAGTAAACCGTGTCTCAGTGAAATTGTAGTTAGCTAAGCTTGAGCCTTGTTCTCAACTTTTGAGCTTTGGCCTACTTCCACTTTTACTTCTTCATTTTCTTCCACTTCCACATAATCCACATCCACTTCTTTTGCTTCTGCTATTTTAATTTTACATGCCATTTTCTTTTTACCTAAGGTTCTCCCGCGTCAAGCATGTGACGCACGACCTCATTAGCAACGTTCTGCACGGTCCGTCAGGACTATGTGGACACATTGCCTACCCATCAAAGCAATGCCAGTTAGTCCACGCGCAGAATCAAGAATGTACCTCTGAGTAAAAGTCTGGTAATGTGCTGATGGATGACAATTATCCTGGGATTGTCACCTGAAATATCTCCCACTCCTCCGTTTGTTATTGTCCTCCCATGTTAGTGCTTGCCTGTTTTCTTTTACTTTCCCAGCCTTTAAACTTTTGAAAACTGACCAGAAGTGGAAGCCTACAGATACCCCATGCTAGGCATTTCAGGTACTCGATTAAAATGTCAAATTGTATTCGTGGGGAGAGTCAACAAGACAGTTTTCCGGTCACCCATAGTCAAGCTTATCCTGGTAACTTTGTCCAATTAATGCAGGTTGACATTGTCCCGAAATTAAATGGGTGTTGTAGATCATGTTTCAAACATAGATAGGACTGAGGGCGTCTTGGCAACCAGGCCATGACATCATCCTGAGATGGAATGGCCAACCCGAGCACTGTAATTCCCCCAGATAAGACACGAAGGCCCCTCACAGACCGCGCGGATACCGCTGAATCACAGCACTGCAAATCGCCCCTGATAATCTTACAAGCTTTGCGCATTTGTGAGTATGCTTCACTGGGTACTCAACAATCAAAATTGTGTGGAGCGGTAAGTCTTTGGGGATAAAGTAATTGAATTGCAGTATCACATATTTTAGTGTTGAACCCGGAGAGTTTTGCAGTGCATTATGGTAGATGACCAACGTGACCACCCTGGAATTTGGCGAGGACGTGATGATACCGTAGTTTGTAGGACATTCTTGTGGTGTTGGTCTTCAAAGGAAAGATGTAAACGCTGTTTTATCATTAGCAGCATTTTGAAAATAAAGCTGGGCTTGTTTCGAAGCATAAAATATAAACGTTTGATAAACATCGGCGAACTGATGTGGACCTCGCTTCTGACGTCAAAAGGTCATGTGGGCTGTCGAACGAAACAACAGAGCTTGTAAACATGCGGGAACATGTGCAAATATGGGCGCGCGTAGGCGGCAGCACCAATAACTCCGACCCCAGCCGCGCTCAATGAGCGTTCTGCATACAGCGCTGGTTTACACCGGCCACGCTGTTTTACAAGTACCCAAGCGGACAACCGTTAGCGAATGCTGCATAAGCTAATATAAATATTGCCTGTAATTGTCTTACATTGATGAGCAGCAGCCGCGGGACAACATCCCAATTTTTAACTGCGAAGTCCTGCAGCACTTGCCGCCAGACTTGTAGGACGGGGGAGAGACTGCGGCGCAGGACTCAGGGCCGGCGTCCCCGTGCCCGGGCTGGCTGTTACGATGTCGTGGTTGGACCTAGAAGAGCAGTCGCCGCCTGCATAGCCGGCATGGAAGCTGTTTTTCGACACTCAGTATCCCAAATTTCAAAGAACTTAAAAGCAACTTAAAAGAATCAGACGAAACCATCACACGCAAATACTGAACTAGGCTATCTCAGAGAACAGAACGAGAGAATCATGAAACAGATGTGTTCGCTGTCGCTGACGTGTTCTCCACCCGTGGCACGTGCGGGAAAAGTACGGCGTGGTGCATTTCAAAGTTGATCAGCGATCAATAGCATTCTTTGTACCACTCCCATATACTGTTTACTTTGACGGACGGCGACAGCACGGTAGTCGTGACAACACTTAAAGGGAATGCTCCACATTTGTGTGGCGTTGTGAACTGAAATAGCCATCTTGAGGACCTTTTGATGCAGTTCACGGTCATGTCCTTTTTAGGACCCTAAACGATCTGGCTCCTGAGTTACACGCCCGCACAAATGCGAACAGGTATATTTGGAGCCTATTTCAAAGCTGCCTCGGCATTTATGAGGCCATACAAACGTCATGCGATCGCGGTCATACTACAGGCTGTATTCTGCTTATGGTTAAAACAGGACGGCCGCTGGTACATTCGCAGAAGCGATGATGCGGCGCGTATGATACAATGCGCGGAAGATGATTGGCTGCTAGCGATATTTCGGTGCTGAATGCGTGTCACGAACGTAAGCGTGAGCACTTTCGGGTTGTGCGGCACTCGTCGTGAACGGGCCATTTTCCCTTATGTCTAGGCCACAGGATTATGCTATAAAAAAAGAACGCCACCGACGGCAAAAAAGTACGGCACCCCAAAAACGGGCACTCTCCCGAAAGTATAAAAAGAAGACGCGACGGCGAATCTGTCTTTTCCCCCTGCCGACGTTTTTTTCTACCACAGAGAGTTCGGTTCGCCTTTTGTGCCGTAGCACAGAACCTTGCACGGGCTTATGAGTTAACAAGGCGTTATGAAAGTAGAGAAACATTGCAATAATTTTAGATATATATTTCATTAAATATTTCACACATGTATCACAAATTTAAATTTCGAACAAAAGGTTGTGTTCTACAAGACCAACCTCTTGAGCCGCATTACCATGAACCTCCATTGGGACTTTGTGTTGAGCGGAGGTCACGGGGAAAGATGGCGTTATGACTGAAAATATGTGCGGAAATTGCGAGAAAGCCTGCAGTTTGAGGGTTCCGCGAGCTGTGCAAATGTGAGATCACGCTTTTTGACAAAGGAGTAAATTGGAGGTTTGAAATGTGTGTGATCACTGGTGGTGTGTGCCAGCGGCTTGTATTGATCTTGATGTGATGGGGAGGCTTGAGGTTTGTACTTCTGGGAAAGAACATTGTTTTGGTACTCTTGAAGTCTACTGATTCCCAATAAAATATGATGTATTGATACCTGTCTCTGCCTTGATGTTTGCGTTTGAATATGACAAAGGAACGCTGGCAAACTAAGAGAAGCACTAGCACTTACGTTGCAGGGGTGTACAAAGGCAAGCTGGCACTTCATTGTGACCCTGCCAACATTTTGAACCTATTGAGGTGTTGCAGCATGTAATTAATACATTGCGTGTCATTGCATCAGCAATTCATTTTGGCAGTGGGGGCTGGTGCGTGGTACTCATTAATACACATGCTCAGTGTAGGCTCACATTATATGGCTTTGCAAAATTGTCTTTCCCTAAATGATTCTGAAAATATAGATCTGTATTATTACTGATGCACATCGTACTGTCCTCACAAATTTTGTATGCAGGCGAGCATTGCTTGTGAGTCATCAGTGCCATAGTCACTGCAACTTGCTTGAGATGCTGGGTGCTCTGAAGGGTGGAAAAGTATTGGTGTTGGTGTCTTGGATAGCACTTAAAAATATTCTCATCATGAGCCTTGTGTGCACTGGCAGCTTCATCACTTCCTTGCATTTTGCCCACCCAACCATAACCACATGCACTCGTCATGTCTCCAGCCTTGTGGAAGGTCAGCATGTTTGCAGTGTCATTTCACCACATGTAAAATTTTCCTGTTATTTTTTTTTTGGTATAGCAGCCTAATGGCCGCAGCATATTGCATGACTGGGGAAGTGGAAGATATGTTTCATCTTTCTCACCTACGTTTTGTAAATTACCAAAACAGGTGACGCCACTTATTGGTTGTCTGCTTTGCTGAAAGTGATTTGTATATTGCATCATGTGTTTTTGGTCAGTCATACGTCAGATGGGGAGTCAATACAAGAGAGGACACTTGACCCATCTTTTCATGGTGGAATTTAATATGAAAGCAGCTTGGAATGCAGTACAAAAAAACTATCATTGTTCATTATGTCATGCCACAGTACAGCACTGAGGTATTGTCACAGATGTTGATCCGTGCCATCACACAATGTACCACATTGGCTTACTACTCTATATCAAACCTATAAGACTGTAGCTTATAATTTATGACTGACTGGTAACAACTTATTCAACATTGCTAAAGGACGATCAACAGCAAGAATGTCATTGCACCGCAATGGCTATATCGGGGTTAGTCATTAATTGCATAAGTAATCGTAAGCACAAAAAAACATTCTGGGTATCCCAAGCTTACCATCTTTACCATATCAAGAGCAATGCTTCGGCAATCAATTCATAGCAACGTTACAAATTTATTCATTTTAGCACGACACCACATTTTCAGTTACAAACAATAAACAAAGTAACTACGGTGCACATCACATGATGCCAGTGTCAGAACTACAGCACTGCGGCCAATGCTGGTTCGACAATAAAGCATTGACAAAATTATGAACAGCATTGCAGCAACAGCAGCAGCACAGCATATCGTGCTTTGATGTTAATAATCTGCCATAAAAGCTGGCGATCGCTACGTTGCGTATGTCAAACAGTTCACCAAAGCTTTTATTACGGCCAGCACCAAGACAACAAACTAACAAACAAACCACCCACTAATCCACCGCCCGACACATTCCCCGCGACTAGAATGGTTGGTTGGCCTCACCTTTCGTGTGTTTCAAGGTATTCCTTAGGTCTGGCTGCCAGATGCTGCCAGGTATAGCTGTCGTCACAAAACCATTCGTGACGCCATCAGGCAGTGACGTAATGGGGCACATTTTTACAAAGTTTGAAATTTTGCTACTTAGCGTCGTCGTAACCTTGAAAGCGTAGCAATAGTTACAAGTAAGCTTTTCCCATCATATCTGATACATACTTCAATGTCTTCAAATGTGGAACACTCCCTTTAAGACAACACCATGTAAACTTAGACAATACGCAAATGAGTAGGCCAACTAGTTGCCATTTGTAGCACCCATTGTTGGCCTGCATTATGGAGAGGAACTATATTAGCCAAACAGATGGCCTTTTGTAGGCCGTGTCAGTCAATAATCCCACTCTCCGCGCTTACGCCAATTGTCAGGTTCAACCAACTAAATGGGTCTGGCATCCATCGGTATTGATAATTGGCTTCAATCATCTCCGACCCGGTACATAAGATCACAGAACGGGATTATGTTGTCCTTTGTTTTCGGCTTTAAATGAGACACAGGTCTCCATTCCCCTAGTATGCTGGGGCCAGTTTTTTGCACCCTCATACCGTAGCACAAAAGGAAGTTTGGAACACTATTTGATTGGTGATATCATTCCACACGACCAAATTTACAGGTTGCGTGTAAAAACAGCGTTCGAGGGGCCATTGTTTGACCAGGGTCGTTTTCTTTTTCAATTTTGTTAGCAGACGAACTTTTCGAACGTCTCGCAAACTTGATCTTGGCCTCTATCAGCCACCTTAACCGCTCCTGTTGGAAGTGCATTTCTGCGATTAATGGTAAACTGATGCTATATGTGAATTCGTGATGCAAATGGCAGTCTGGCTTTGGCTTATTTTTCTCCGAAAACGAAAACAACTTGGTGAAATTCCAAACAAAGCGGCGACTGAAAAATAATTACGCTATCCACAACGCTTGCCATTTGCGTCATCGACAATATCTTTGACACGTGGTATCGGAAACGTGCCGTTTTGCTTTTTCTTTACATCATAACGTTTGATCCCTGTTACGTAGCAAAGGCGTGATGTGACCCGCATCCATCCACAAGCCTGTCTCATTGTTATTGTGTTACGTACCTAAGACAAATGCCCACCTCCGCGTTACTCAGGCGTTGGAGCGTCAAGCCTGGCTGATAAAGTGTATCTTTAAACCAGGACAGATGACTGGGGTGCTTAGATATATTGTGTGACCCCGTACACGCCAGTGCGCATACGAAGGTGGAATAGCATGAATGTTGTCGATTGGTGACGTGAAAGTGCAGGCACATCTCATCAGACGGTTTTCTGTTTCAGGAATGCCGGGGAAGCTTTCCGGTGGTGAAATGCACATACTGTCGGTCCGAGTTTCAACAGGAAAGGTAAGTCATGCTTTTAAAGCATGCCTCCATATCACGACACTTACGGCGCATGCTCCCTTCCAACCAGATCAGTGACACTGGCCCAACCAACTGCTTTTGAACCCTCTCGCGGTTGTTTCGTCGTGTTCAGAGAGCCTGGCGAGAAATCGACTACGGGTTGAGAGCTCACGTGGAACGTGATCTCATAGGACATCGAAACAAGGCTCGCTGTATGTATCACACAGTCGGGATTTTATTATTGGGTTTATTGTTACGGTGTGGTGCATGATTGTTTTTTCATTGCATGTTTTGACACACTCTGTTCGTTTGCCATGGAAACCAAACCTCACACGTGGAATACCATCGTCATCACATAATGCATACTCCGGCCGATATTATATGCTCTGTATCTTAGCCCAGCGCCGTGCCGGGAGTCTCAAATCAACTGAATTAAGTTTTGAATTGAGCATCAAAGCCACAACGCGGCGGCTCAAGTTTGATTTCGCCTCTCTTATTACCAAGAGAACACCAGCTGCTTAACCGACACGATGTTTGCTCCCGAGCCCACGTCGTCTGCCGCCCCGGGTGACACCAGAGCGGCGCTTTTCACCGCCCCGCTGGGCGGCAGGCGCACTCGCTGGTGTCCGAAGTGGTGGCCGAGCAGCAATAGCCGGAGCACGGGGAAACGTCCTGCTCAAGAATTGGGATTAAACCGAATCGTGCGTGATATAACGCGGTCGTGATAATGAGGCACAAAGAAGTCGGTCATCGGGACCGGAGCGTGCCTGTATTATTTCAACGTTAGCTATGAGCCAAGAATAAGGATGAACTCACTTCCCCGCACATATTGGCACTGACACCCTGCGGAGCACAGCTGGTTCCTCTGCCCTTCTGCGGAGCATGACTGCATATACGGCGTGTGCGTGCGTGTGTGTGTGCGTGTTCAGTATTTTGCTCCAGCAGTCACGTTGAAAACGTACAATTTTTTAGTCCTCATTTTTGCCGCACGACATCAGGACGAGCATAGATATTCAGAAGTGCATGGCTGCACGCTTCGCCGCCGTAGGCCTCATGCGTCACGAGGTGCTGGTTTAAGCTTAAGGTTAGCCACTGCGCGTCTGGGAAACCAGAGGTACGGGGTTCGATTCCCCGCGGTGCCCGCCCTTCCTGTCAGGGTGAGAGGCAGGCGACGCCATATAGCCTCAGCAGCTGAGTGCGTCGTAAAGCCCCAATCACATATGCACATTAAGCTTGAGGTTTAGGGTGCCGATAGTGTAGTGGTTAACGCGTCTGCGTTAACCACTGTGCGCCTGGGATACCGAGGGTATGGGGGTTCGATGCCCCGCTGTGCCCGTCCTTCCTGCCAGTTTGAGAGAGAGAGAGAGGTGACGCGAAATAGCCTGAGGGGCTGAATGCGTCGTAAATCCGCAGTAACTGCGAGGTGCTGATTTGGGTTAGATCCCTGGGTGCGGCTGTCCGTGTCTGTTGTAGCGATGCGCCCCGTGTTGATGCGGCAGCAAAGCCGCGACGATGGGTGGCCGAGCTGCTTCGCCATGTTGAAAGTCGTGCTCAGTGACGGCTCATCTGACGGGCGCGCTCTGGGCTGTCGTGCGCGCTGGTGACATCGGCCCCAGCCGTCAGCGATCAAAGTGTGGTCCGAGCGAGAGGCCGAGTAGGTCTCCGCCGGTGACACCGGCCCCAGCCGACAGCGATCAGAGCCTGGTCCGAGCGAGAGGCCGAATAGGTCTCCACCGGTGACACCGGCCCCGGCGTCAGCGATCAGTGTGGTCCGAGCGAGAGGCCGAGTAGATCTCCGCCGGTGACACGGGCCCCGGCCGTCAGCGATCAGAGTGTGGTCCGAGCCACAGGCTGAATAGGTTTGCGGCTGAGTACGGTGACAGTTGTCGGTGAACATTCAGAGATTCGGTGTTGGAGGACCTCACTTGGCGCGTTGGTTCCGTGGTGATCAGGCACCAATGTGTGACTCATGCGCTCGACATGGTCCGCGCAGCCCTGGCAACGCCCACAACCCGTTAGTTGCAGTGGGCGCCAATTACTTTGCCAGTGAATGCACTGGGCATACGAAAACGTGCTTTCCGTGTCGTTGTCATCGGCCATGTTCAGAAGCAACTCCCCCAGGAGCTGTGCCTTGCATCACTCGCGGGCCGTTAGCTTTGGCTGACCTGCAGCTGGCCCGGCTTGCTGCCGCACCTCCGGCGTCCTTGGCTATGGGGATGCTCTGGGCCCGAGGCCACGGTCAGCCCTCTCCCACCAGACGCCGACCTCTGTTGCACCGTCGAATATCACACGAAGCCCCGCTCCGGCTGCGTGCCCTGTCCTGGCAGCGCACCGGAATGTACGAGGTCAGCTCACCCCATTCCGTACGTGGTCGTCGGATCTGGCGCCAATCGTACGCTGTTGGCGTTTCGAAGCGCTGGCTTCAGACGACGGTCTGTGCCAAGAGAACACGATAGTTAATACATGGAGTGGGCCATAACAAATACGGCACCTTTTGGCTACACTCGCATGGCTGAGGTGCGTAAGAACTTCATGTGTTGTTGGGTCCAGCTAGAGAGACTGGGACATAATACGACACAACCGAATATAAACTGCTCGTGTATCGCTGCCCGATCTTTTTCGATAAGCACGTGTTTCCACTCTTATACAAGACTTGGGTTTGCTACGGCCTTGTCTCGTAGACGATGCAAGTTATTTGCCACGTTTTTGTGATGATTGAGCTTAAAAGCTATTTATAAGCCTGGTGAACCACTTCAGACTTTTGAATGCATGTGTTACCATTTTTACACAGTCACGCATTTGACTAACAATAAGGCGTGCCACTGCGCCCCGTCCCTCAACGCTGACGATAGCTGCTTCAGCGCTGCCGAAGCTAGTGCTGACTCGGGTGATCCCCGGAGCCAACCCTTCACGGCTGCCCTTCGTTAGTGGTCGTAGCGCATCAGCTGCGGCTGCTTCAGCGTTGCCGAAGCTAGTGCTGACTCGGGTGATCCCCGGAACTAACCGTCACGGCTGCCCTTCGTTAGTGTTCATAGCACATCGGAGAACACGAGGCTTCTCTGGAAAGTGCTCGGGCTTCTGTCGTGACCATTCGATAATTATTTTTATTTTTGGGCTTCCCGTTGTTCTCTTTTCGTGGTACAAATACTCATCTCCAAGCTGTTCAGTGGTGCCAAACTACGCGTTCGAAGTCACGGGAGCAGAGTGTCGCGACGCTCGTAACATCGAAGGTTACGTACTTCAGAAAGAATGCTTGCAATGAAATGGCTTTGGAAGGCACTAGGAGCAAACATTACGCGCCACTCCTTAAAAGTGGAATCCTTTGTCGGCCATAAACTGATGTCCGTAGATAAAAAACCTTTTCCCCGTTGGCATGACGCCCGTAGTTTCGTCTCGTCTCTTGCGAGCACTTCTTCGTTGTGGTACGTCTTCCCCCTGTGCGTGAATAACTGGGAAACGCAGCACCAGCCGGGGATCAGGCCGCGTGTTCGTGGCCCGGTAACGTCGACCAGGAGCCGCCACGAACGGCTGCCGCCGCTGCCGCCGCCCGACGCGGATCGGCGGCCAGGCCGGCCGACCTTGAGGCGTCTGGTGTTACGTCAGGAAAGCTGTCCGTGGGCGAGGCCGCCATCATGTCTGTTGCATGACGCTGATCTGATATCCCGGCGTGAGAATGTGTGAAGTGTTGCGAGTTCCGTCGTTTGTGAGCCCATTTGTACGTTATGCCACAAATTGATAACTTGCGTTTCTTTTCAGGTTTTGTAAATTACGCATTGACAAATGCAGTTTTGAGGGCGTGATTGGGTGTAGTCGTTGCCGTTTGTCATGCTGGCGTTGGTTAGTTGGTGTGATGGGAGTGACCGTCACATCACATCCGTGCCGTCATCGTACTGCAGGCATCGTATATTTGCGCCTGGCATCCTCAACCAGTCATCGCGGTCCAGGTCATCACATGAGCTCACGCGTGTGGAACTGGTCGTTAGCGCTGTAGTGCTCTCTGTCGCATTCGGGTCATGCTGTCCTCCTTGACTAGCGCTGCTGTGCCATTGGTTTTTGTGCTGTTTTGGTGCCCTCCTTGTCTAATGCACCAGTGAGTGATGCTGTAGTGCCGTTCATGGCTGCGGTGCTGTGGTGTCACCGTACCCTTCATAACTGTGGGTAGCGATGCCCTCCGTGTCTGGTGCTGTCGTGCCGTCTTGCCCTCCGTGGTGGTGCGGTGGTGTCCCTCGTGCCCGGTGCTGTTGTGTCATTCGTGTCTGCGGTATTTTGGTGCCCTCCTGTGCCACAGTGGTCCGCCGTGTTTTGCGGTGTTGTGCGTTCCTTTGTGCGGTGTTGTACCCTCGTCTCCGTGGTGATGTTGTACTTCGTGTCTTGAATGGTGTGCTGCCTGCCCCGTTTTCCGTGGTCCCGTGGTGCACCCCGTGTCTGTGGTGCCGTGGCGCCTGTGTGACCACCGTCCCTTGGTCGGCAGCAAGGGCAGCACGTCCACCATCTGCAAGAAATGCGAGCAGATGGTGAAGGCGCACGGCAAGCCGACCGCTTGCGACTACTGCAACGTGATCGCGGCATTCATCGGCTCGCGCTGCCAGCGGTGCGCCAACTCGGAGAAGCGCTACGGGCCGCCGCAAGCCTGCGAACAGTGCAAGCAGAAGTGCGCCTTCGACCGAAAGGACCCGGAAGACAAGAAAAAGGTGGAGGACGACGGCACACCTGCCAGGTCCTCTCCGGTCCAGTCGACGGTACTCCTCTCCCCCGCGCGTCCTGTTCCTGCTCCACGCGCTGCGCCCCGGGCTCGACTGACCTACTGATCCCGGCCGGCCCGGCCAGCCCACCGCGCAGCCCGCGCTCGCCCCGCTCCTGGGCTGGTGTCAGGGGTCACCAGCTTGCTATGGTACAGCTGGGTGATATCGGTGCATGCCCTATGTGTCGCCGTTTCTGTGACACTGAAGTGGAGTGCGATATTTTTTGCCTCCCATTACTCACGTTTGGTTTTAAAATATATGTCCATTGTCTCACGTTTGCATCTTTGGGATTTGGGATCTAAATGCGCGTGAATCTGGTAGTGGGATATACCAGGGAAAATTGTATGTGGCTCTCAAATTGAGAGGTCGTGCCGCACAACATGCACGGATGTTCCAAGTTGTGATCTGCGCTTATTGCGCCGAAACCCAGCAGCGATCTGGACTTAACCGAACTCGGATCTCTCTGGCCTAAGTCTTGGAGTTATGGGATAATAGCAGACGCCCTTGAGCGTTCGTCAGAGCTCCGTCAGAACCGCTGATAAGAGAGAGAACTTCGCTCCCGCTTTGTTTGGTGCTTATATGGTTTGGGTCAGGCACCATTTGTTATATCGAACAATATGTCCGATGTTGGACGCCAGGTCTGGTGTCGAACGGCGTGCTTGGTGTCGGGCACAGTGTCTGATTTCAGTCACATTGTGACCTCTGCCTTGTCACGTGGTGCGTGTCTTGAGTGGCCTCTGCCTGATCATGTGGCGCCGTGTCTCGAGCGACCTCTGCCTGTTCACGTGGCGCCTTGTCTTGAGTGGCCTCTGCCTGTTCATGTGATACCGTGTCTTGAGTGACCTCTGCCTGTTCATGTGATACCGTGTCTTGAGTGACCTCTGCCTGCTCACGTGGCGCCGTGTCTCGAGTGACCTCTGCCTGTTCATGTGGTACCGCGTCTGAGTGATCTCTGCCTGCTCATGTGATGCCGTGTCTTGAGTGACCTCTGCCTGCTCACGTGGCGCCGTGTCTTGAGTGACCTCTGCCTGCTCATGTGATACCGCGTCTTGAGTGACCTCTGCCTGCTCATGTGATACCGTGTCTTGAGTGACCTCTGCCTGTTCATGTGGTGCCGTGTCTTGAGTGACCTCTGCCTGCTCAGGTGGACGGCAAGCTGCTCTGCTGGCTGTGCACGCTCAGCTATAAGCGGGCGCTGGCCAAGACAAAGTCGACCGACCCCGCGCGCCACACTCACGTCAAGCTGGGCAAGAACCAGGAGAAGCGGAAACCAAAGTTAGTACGGGAAGAGCCACGACCGTAGGGTTGCCTCGGCTTCGATGCTCGTGCCTCGATCCAACCGTCGACATTACGTGATCGATGTTAGGGGGAGCCTATGCCACACGGTTTCAACTGGAACGAGAGTTTCGTCACAGGTCCTTTAGGTAAATGCGTGTTGAGCAATTCGTCCCAAGAGATGTGAACAGGAAGCTCAGCCGAACGCTGCTGGTTCGCCATCGTTCTTAACATAATTGCCTTGTTCAGTTCTGTTGCATTGCTGTTTGTTTTTTGGACATCGGCGTCCCTCGCTGAGGCAACGATATTCTTTAGGTACATTTTTTCGGACCTATGCTGGGTGGATTACTATATTTTGGTTGCTGAGCGGTTTTGCTACAAATATTTTATCTGGGCCATTCAGAAGGCTGCTCAAAATGAGCAGAAGTTTATTAATAGACCCCCTATCATAAAGGACCCCCCAAACCCGCGAAATAAATTAAAGTTAACTTCATCTCTTGTAGATTCCCAAACCGTACGTGAAGAAACATTTACCTGAGTGAGTCAATACCATAACTTTTCTGCCTCACGCTATGCAATCCTTTGATGATTCTTCATTTTGGACACTTTGGCTCCCTTTCTTGGCCGTCATGCCCTTGTCCTCTGAAAACCATGGTAATGCAGTCGCGTTGTGCTTATGGATGTTTTGCCTTGCCCAATTGAGGAACCTGTGAAGTCACGCTAATTTGATACGTTGCACACACTTTTGCAAAGGAAGCCGTTCTTGGGGGTTGCCCCAGATCCACCCATGTTTTCGGCTTCTTGGTTTGTTGAAATGGCGCCGCCTACCTAAAAGTAAAAACCGCTGGCTAGCTGACTCCAAGCGTCCGCACGCTATACAAACGGCTGAATTGTAGTGCAGGCACACGTAGCCACCGCTCCCTTCACCATGCCGTTTTAACCACAGACCAACCGTGCGCGTCACACGGTGATATGGTGTGTGATTTTGTATGCGTGGTCAGTGTATCATGGGATGGTGTAGGTATTGTGCATGATCATTGTATGTTCAGCTGATGTGTAATTGGGTCAGTTGAGATCAGTTGGGTCACAAGCAGTACACCAGGAGCTATATCGCAGCATTCCAACTTGCGGCGGCGTGACATCCGCGCCGCTGCCCCTGTCCCACACTCGAGCGTCACCCCTTCGAACGTCGGCTGATCCGACAGTGGCGCCCCTGCTGTCGGTGTTGTGCCGCTGGGTGAGCGTGCCCCTGCCGTGGGCGGCCGCACGCGTGCCGTGGCCGCCCGCGGTGCGCCGCCGTGCGGGTCCGTCACCAGCCGCCCGGCCATCAGGTACTACGTGTCGAAGCGACCCGACCGGCCGGACGTGACGCGCCAGCCGCTGGAGGGCTCCGAGCCCAAGAAGGCGCGCAAGGACGAGCAGTCGGACCACGTGGTGGCCATGACGCAGCTGCGCGAGGAGATCGCCAGCCTGCAGCGCCAGCTGCAGATCAAGAATCAGCAGATGCTCGGCAAGGACAAGGAGGTACACCCGACCGGACACGGCAGCTGCGCTCACCGCCGCCGCCCCGCGTCGCAACTCGCGCCTCCTTCGTCACTCCTGGGCACAGTTCTTGCCTACTCTTGATGATCTGAATGATGGTCTCTTGCCCTGTGTATTGGGGATTTCCGCAATCTTGGGTTTTACCCAATCCTCTTGAAGGTTTGCCCATTGTCGCTTTGTTCGTATTGTTTGTGTCCATAGAGCCAAATGACACGTGTGCACTCGCTTCGTATGGCCTGGCTTTCAACCCATGGCTTAGTATTTTTGCTCCGCATCTTTATTCACTTGCCTTTTTAGCTATCGCTGTGTGCTGCATGTTTCTCTCCTTAAATCTCGCTCGTGTTTTGGGGTATATTTTCTTGCTCTCATATTTCTCACTTATCCTTAGATTTTGCTCGCCTTTGGGGTTTATTTTGTTATTCTCGACGTTTTCTCCTTTCTTTCTTTTTATTGCTTTTCTTTCGTTCCGTGTTTTCTCCAAACTGTTTTTCTCTATTTTATCCGTATGTATTTTATCCCAATGTTTTTTTTGTTTTTATCCCAAAATGTTTTCCCGATATATCTTTCACCATCTTTCTCTGATCTCTATTCCTGTACGAATAACTGCCCCTTCTCCATTCGTTCCCCAATTTCTCCTCCCACGTCCGTGCCGCTCTCTCGCTGTCTGCCCCCAGTTTTCCCAATATTCACGCTCCTCCGTCCTCTCGGTTGCTGTCGTGTGTGGGCGTCGCCCCACACACCGGTATATCTCGTTTCCTCCCATGTATCTCCCGTGCCATTCTGTTTTCCTTGCGTTGGTTGCATTTCGTCATCGGACAGCGTTTCGTAGTTAGTGCTGTTGACCATAGCATAATGGAGAATCCTTTATTTCATAACGTGTGTGCCATGGGCCTTTTTTGTCCCCAACTTGAAATGTACAACAGGCGCGGGTTGTGCTCAATGTCCTTTTTAAGAAAATCGGATACCATGAAACGCACAGTACGGAAGCCAGCTTCGTTAACCAGCACTGAATGCAACCTGCAATGCCGGTGGTACTATATGCCAGTTGTTTTAGTTACGAAGCGCATTTCGCGTTAGAAATCACAATAGCTCATTCTTGTAGCTAGCTGCGTAAACGGCACTAACCAATATCCACTTGGATAACCACTGGTTGCGTACTGACAACTTCCATCAGAACATATATGAACATCCCGTGCCCAGATCGGTTGATGATGTGACTGTCAAGGACTCAGTCAGGACAGATCTTCACTGTTTGACATGTTTCCTCCGGTCCCTTTATTTTCCCTCCTCGTACTGTCACTGTACCGATTCCTCTATGCTCGCTGCCTTCCTTGTTGCAATTTACTCTTGATTTGTCTGACCTATTTGTCTTTTTTTGGCGGCATCGATTATCATTATTTGTTATCGTCACTGGGGTTTTGCGGCGCACCCATTAGCAGAGGCTGTATGTCGTCCGCCCCGCACCCTGACAGTATGGTAGGCACCACTGAAGGGCGGGCGCCGCTGGGAATCGAACCCGTGCCTCTAGCTTCTCAGATGCGGAGCCTAACCTCTGCGTTCCGGTACCCCGATTATCATCTGTTAAGATGGGGATATGCTCATTTCTACGTGGCGATAGACTCTGTCAACTTGTACTCAGATGATTAACCACTTCCCTTTAGCCCCTGCACGTACGTACCACTGTATTCAGTCTTATGGTTATGTGTATATTGCTGCATATCTGTCGTGTTTTACGTAGGTGCAATACAATTATTTTCATGCCCCTCACCTGGTCGCAGCTTGCGAGACTGACGCTCCTACCCTGTTCTTTAACCATCAACTTCACTAACCTCGGAATGGTCGGGCATCACAAACAGCAGTTTTGGAACTCTGATCTGTCCTGTCAGTTTTGTAACTGGGTGCGTGACTGGGGTCAACATAGTTCACACCCACGCGCGTGTTTTATGTTTTGAGATATTTCCCAGAATTAGTGAAAAATACGGGTAATTGGATATGGGGCTGCGATTTGTACTTAACATACCGTTCATTGCCCTAACGGATAAGTGAGTGTGAAAGAGGCGATATGCTGTCACTTTGTATCCCGCGTGAGTGCACATAAAATCAGCAGAATTGTATCCTTCCAGTTGAGAATCATTACCTGCTAGCCTCCTGCAGATTTTCCTCGAATGTTTTGTTCAAGGAGCTGCTGCTTGTGCGTCCCGGTGCAGTCAGTGGGACGGTGCGCCGGCGGCCGTCCAGCTGGCGCCGGCGTCTGTGGTGTCAGCAGTCCCATGGTGGCGCGGCACGCCCTCCGCTGCTGCCCAGGCTTCGTTGGCGGCCACGCCCGCGGTTGTAGCCGCCGGCTGACATCGAGAGGGGCATGTTGATCTGCTGTGTAGCCCGCACCACCCGCTGTCCCCCGGCCTGAGGTGTCTGATGCAGCAGCTCGACCGGCCCGTCCTGGCCTTGACCCCGTCCCCGACCCCACCTCGATCCCGACCCCGACCCCGACCCCGGCCCCGGCCCCGGCCCCGGCCCCGCCCCGGCCCCGCCCGGCCCGGCCCCGCCCCCCCCCGACCCCCGGTCCCGGTCCCGACCCCGACCCGACCCGACCCCGACCCCGACCCCGACCCCGACCACAACCCCCACCCCAACCCTGACCTTTACCTGATCCTGGCCCCGACCCGACCCCGACCCGACCCCGACCCCGACCCCGACCCCAATCCCTGATCCCTGACCCTGATCCCTGACCCTGATCCTGGCCCTGACCTCGACCTCGACCCCGACCCCGACCCTGACCCCGACCCCGACTCCGACCCTGATTCCCATCCCGATCCGATCCCGATCCCGATCCCGATCCCGATCCCGATCCCGATCCCGAACCTGAACCTGAACCCTGAACCCGAACCCGAACCCGACCCGACCCGACCGACCCCGATCCTGACCTCGACCCTGATCCTGGCCCGACCTCGACCCCGATCCGATCCCGATCCCGATCCCGATCCCAATCCCAATCCCAATCCCAATCCCAATCCCGATCCCAATCCCGATCCCGATCCCAAATCTGAACCCGAACCAGCCGCTGCCCCTGACCCCTCACCTTCAGCTCGCACACAGACTGAATCGACCCCACCGCGGACCTCGAGCTCGCCCCGTACCCGACACGGACCCTGACTTCGTATCGTGACCTCAACCACAACCCCAGACGTGACCCCTGACCCCGGCCTGGGTCTGACTGACCGAGCCGCGACCGCCGGCAGATCTGTGAGCTGAAGGCCAAGAACCTGCGCAACGAGCAGGACATCCGGCGCAAGATGAACGAACAGCAGAAGGTGCACGAGACGAAAGTGCAGACGCTGCAGGGTCGCATCCGCACTCTCAGCAAGGAGGTGGCGCAGCTGTCGCGGCGCGCCAAGGGTGGCGCGCTGGCGTCGGCCGACAGCGCTAGCAACAGCCCGCTCGTGTGATAGGTGCCCGGCCGAGCCCCGGCCCGGTTGCGGCCGGTGTGTCGTGACACGCACATGTTCGCAGGTGTTGCCGCCGACGGCGGTTCCGGCCCCGGTTCTGCCGGCTGTCTCGACAAAGGTATAGTCCGAGCGCTCTGATCCTTGACTGAGCTCGACGCGCCCTGTCTGCGTGTCTGGCGCGCCCAGTCGTGTCTGCGTATCTGGCGCGCCCAGTCGTGTCTGCGTGTCTGGCGCGCCGGGTCGTGTCTGCGTGTGTGTGGAGCGGGCGAGCCGCGGTGCGCGGCCGGCGCTCGCTGGTGTCCTAGGTAACTGTGCTCGGTTTTAGAGGCCCGTCTGCTCGGCACGTGCTGCCGGAGCTGCGGCCGGTATATCAGCTCCTGACGCCGTCGGCGTCTCGTGAGCGTCGTTGGGCGCCGGTTCGCAGTCGTTTTGTTGTTCCTTGGCGTCCGCGGTGAGCCAGGTCGTCGTGGCCCGTCGGGCGCAAATGGAACGTCGCTGTTGTACGCATGGTGCTCCCGCCATGTACTCGCCATCTTTTAAGCTCATTTCACGCTAGATCTTCAAGTAGTATGTGCTTCTCTGGGCTCACCCAGAAAACCCATTGGTGTACCGGATGTTTCTGCTTCTGGAATAAAGTAGGTCAGGCTAGTCACATGGCTGAGTCTGTGGAAGAGGCTGGAGTTGTTGACACGATGGCCTGCCTCATCCCCCCCCCCTTTCCAGTCCTGTTTCTGTCCCTGGGGGCTGTAATAGGTATAGCTGACGCACCCAGCCATGAAACCCACACAGAGACGGATGGTTGGTGTCATCAGGTGAACACATTACGGTAGCCCTAATTCGAGGCACTCGCAGTTCTGTCTGAAGCACGATCAGAGCATGGTGGGCGCCAGTGGGACCAACACAATAAAGTACTGGGAGGCGATGCGGAGGAACACTGAGCGCTATCTGATATTTAATGCGAAGTATGGGCAGAAGGAAACTTGCAGCTCTTCATCGCTGTGCTCAACTTATGTAATGCTTAAAAGGCAACGGCTTAATTTTTTACCTGGGAAGTTGATAACCGGTCCCACGGCTTTGAGTGAGCTTATCCCGCGGATTCGTGGAAGCATAGAACGCTGGGTACGCTGGACTGTGCCCAGTAGCCCAGCAACCTGTGCTCAATCCACGGAAAATACTAGCTGCGCAGTCTGCCCGTGCAGTGCTGGTCTGATGCCCATTGCACATGCTGGATTATGAGGAGACACCCGCGTGACTACTCGCGGGTTTTCCAAGGCTGCGAATAGCGGCCCTCTACAGTGGCAATTTCTCAACATTTGGTAGGTGGCGCTTTGAAGATGTCGTAGGGATGCAGTGCATGCCTGTCGTAAAGGTATACGCGTGTTTTTCACGACCAAACATCGGCAATCACCTTTAACGTCCTTGTATCATTAAATCTGCAATAAGTTGTCCTTCATAGACCGTTATGGCTGTTCTGTACTTTGAACCAACATGCTATGAGATTTCGCGGCACCTGAAGCTGCACTAGGATGCCCGCAAACATACTATTGCACCATCTTTTATGCAAATCAAGGTTCTCCTCCGAGCGTCCAAATTTGTCAGAGTTTGAAAGCCCAGTCCGCGTAAACCGTAGCTCGCTTGTCGGGCGGCCGTAACGCGTGGCCAAAATGTCGCCGACAAAATGTGTTACTGGACCCGGAGCTCATCCGGCTATGAGCTCTGAACAAGTGCATTCGCCGTCACACTCACGCCACGAGACTAACGGGCGTGAACGCTTCCGGTTGGAGCCAGGTGGTCACGCCGCAGTACAGCGCCAATGTAACACGCCTGCCACGTGCGGCGGTGCCCAGGCGGGATCTCCACAGAGCTACAAGAGCGACTTTTTCGGTCAAAGAAACTGAAAACAATCGACGGAAACCGGACGAGGCTGTGTGTGTCTTACGCGGGGCGTGAGGAGCAAGTCGGTGTTTCCACCTACCATTCTGCAAGTCATGGTGATCCCGCCTTTGCTGACGCGCACCGTCGCACTCAGCTCCGTCTAACGGTTCCGGTTCCACCCAGCTACTGCTGGTAGACACTGTTCCGCCCAGCTACTGCTGACAGACACTGTTCCACCCAGCTTCTGATGGCAGACACTGTTCCACCCAGCTTCTGATGGCAGACACTGTTCCATCCAGGTACTGCCGACAAACACTTCTACCCAGTTCCGTCTGGCAAGACACTGTTCCGCCTAGCTCAGACTGGCAGACACTGTTCCGTTCCACCCAGCTGAGGCTGGCAAACATTGTTCCTACGAACCCAGGCTGACAGGCACTGTTCTACCCAGCTCATGCTTGCAGACACTGTTCCACTCAGCTCAGGCTGGCTGACACTGCTCCACCCAGTCCCTGAGGGGTGGGGGAGTGACGCATTGCTGCAGTGTGCCCGGGCCGCGCGGCTCCAGGACTGCACACAGCGCCGCACTGGTGGCGCCGCCGTGCTCTCTCGCGGTCTTCTCCGTCGCCAGGCGAGCCAGCCAGTGCCTGGGCGGGACGGCAGCTGCCCGGTGGCGGCGGGGTGGAAGCGATAAAACGGCGACTGTCGGGGTCGTGACGCCCCGGGCGGGCCCACTCACGTGCGTTTGGCAGCACTTGGTGTGAATAACAAAGGACGAGGATTTGAAACGCCTGGAAGTCAAAAATGGACAGAGTACCTGTCGAAATGCAGGCTAATGCGTCTTGGCAATGAAGCGTTTTTCACTATTTTCGTCCATGAAAACCGTGGACAATATCTTCGAAGGAGCTGCAGGCTAATTATGACTGCCTCTCCATTACTTAATGATGGTGTCTGATATATCTATTTATTGTCTTGCTCGTCGTGTGATTACATTTTTATCTGGGTATGTTGCGCCTGGATGCGATCACGATAAGGACTGACGTAAAACCATTTTGCAGCACGGCCGTTCAACGCAATGTTGACTAGCACGATAAAGAGTCAGTCGTCTTGGAAGGCGAATGTAACGCGGAGCATCTGTCACCTGGTGTCGAACGTCGCGACATCATTATATTGTGCCTCTTTCGTGTTGGAGTTTGGTGGTGGCGCATCCCTGACCTGCTGTTGCTGCCAGCTGATGCCACCAGTGCTGATAATCAGACGCTGTTGACCAGTCGTGAGTGCTCCGCACCAGAGAGACCTAAGCTGGTAACCAGACCCGGAGTAGCGGCACCAGGCGGCGCCGCGCACCAGAGGGACTTGAGCTGGTGATCAGTCCTGTACGGACTACACCAGGGCGTGTCGGGACGCGCAGTAGCGGCACCAGGCGGCGCCGCGCACCAGAGAGACTTGAGCTGGTGACCAGTCCTGTACGGACTACACCAGGGCGTGTCGGGACGCGCAGTAGCGGCACCAAGCGGCGCCGCGCACCAGAGGGACTTGAGCTGGTGATCAGTCCTGTACGGACTACACCAGGGCGTGTCGGGACGCGCAGTAGCGGCACCAGGCGGCGCCGCGCACCAGAGGGACTTGAGCTGGTGATCAGTCCTGCACGGACTACACCAGGGCGTGTCGGGACGCGGGCAAGTTTGGCAACGTCTGAACTTTCACCGCTGCTGGCTGCGCGGACAGCATCTGGGCCTGTTTTCGCGGACCTCTTGCCTCCACTTGACGCGTTGGCGGCTGCCAGTTTTGGGAGATCTATGCTTCACTGGGGGGGGGGGGGGGGGGAGGGGCGGGGCGGGGCGGGGCGGTCGGTCGGTTGGTCGCAGCGTTTGAAGCAATTCAACAGTAACGCTTAAGCAGTGGGGTGGGGTGGGGGGGGGGGGGGACCGTTGTCTGCACGACTGCCTCCGCCTGCGGCTGGGAGAGCTGCCCTGTCAGGAACCCCGGGTTCTGTCGTTAGCATGTCCGAATGAGCGGACATGAAGTTGTCTTCATCAGGAGGCTACCGCCTCGTTTACTTCCGAGCGCCTCCGGTCTTGCGTCAGCGGAGTGTCCGCAGTCGGTTGGTGCCCAGGCCGCATCGTCGGCCGGGGTCCCGCCTATGGGCGGAATGACGTCATGATGATGGTGGCGTGTGCGTAATGAGAACACACACGCCACCAGTGGCGGCTAGTTCGTCAGACGTGGCAGCCTCGAGGCGACATCTATCTCACAGCCGTCCGCAACCTCCGGCCGGGTGTCTCCGTGCGGTTTGGCGCGAAGAGCAGCGGAAGAGCGGCGCAGTGGGCAGCTGGCTGGACCGTACCAGCGGACTACCGTTGGTGACCCGCCCCCGCCCGCTGTCTGTTGGTTCCCATCCCGCCCCCGCCCGCTGTCTGTTGGTTCCCATCCCGCCCCCGCCCGCTGTCTGTTGGTTCCCATCTGCTGTGCTTGTGTGTGACGAGCTGTGCGGTGCAAGGGCCACCAAGGCGGTGTCGGGCCTCCCTCCTGCCCTGTGAGGTGGTCTCGGGCGCTGGGCCCGGTCCGAATGAGCGACCCTGTTACCGCTCCGCCGCCCGGAGGCGTGGTCCCTCCCCGGTCGGTAGGCGTGGCCAGGGCACACTGGCCGCGGGCCGCTGTCTGGAATCTGGAATAGGTGGCGCGCCGTGTCGGGCGCATGGAATTCGTGACTCAGCCTCGTTTTACCGCAATCGATGGTGACGACTTTTTATAACAAGGTTGCGATCCTGACCTTGGCTAACCAGGTTTTATGTCCTTATGCCATGCCTAGGAGCACTGTGTGGTCATGACTTTCCAACATTATTTCGGTGGTATCAATGCATGGAGTTTTGGGGCTTCTTCCCTGAGCGAACTGAGCTAGGCGTAGTATGAAATAGAGCAACAGAGAAAACTAGATGCAGATTTTGTAGCAAATTATCTGCCCAATTCAAAACAAAGATACGTGGTTGGCGGTTCATGGTTTGTGCAGCGAGCCGTTCTTAGCATGTGCCAGGAATAAACAAACATCTAAAGACGTTCGAAACGAGCATTCTACAGTTTCAGAGGAGCTCGGCTCTTGGAGTGCCCACCGTCTCCGAATGTTTGGTGACGGAGCGTCGGCCACGAGATCACGCGTGTCCGGCACATGGGATCGCGTGCCAAAACTCAGCTTATTCGGCACGGGTGCGCTGATGTGGTGTGGATAAACATCGCTGTTGACGTCAT